TGTTGCAGGGTTGTTGGGGGGAGGGAACAGCCTGAGATGGGTGGGGTGTGGCAGAGCCTCAGGCAGTTGGGGGGATTGTTGGGGAAGCGATGGGGGGCAGTACCTGTGCCAGGAACTGTAGCTGGGGATGATGAACTGGAAACTGCCTGCGGGGGTGAGGTTACATGGGAGTGTGGCACTGAACGCCTGACACCCCTCAACTCTGCTGTATACATGGGGAGATCTGAGGCAGCTGGGGGCATTTTCCCCTGTACATTTGTTCTTCCAGTCCCAGGACAGGGCACTTGCCCCTTTCTGAGGCAGAGCCCTTGCAACTAATGGCATCTTATGCAGAGTAGCTAAGGAGTTTTTCTTTATACAGCCAATGAGGATTTCTGACCTCTAGCGCCCCACTTCTTTCCTTGAAATAAACCTCTGCTCAAGACACCAGAAATTTAACAGCAGGGGGAAGTTCCTTCCATCTTACTCTCCCTTTTGAGAAGATACAGTTCACTCCACAGCTGGACCCAAAGCTCTTCTGCAGGACTGCTGCTCAGAGGACAGTGATACACTCGATTTAGCAAGCTTTTGGTGACTGGTTAAAAAGTCAGATGCTAAGTCTGCATTCTGCTGTGTGTCCTTACCATGTGCTCCCATACTTGGTTTGCATTTCTGCTACCAATTATGGGCTGGGGGAACAACATGCTTTAAACAGGGTTGTCTTGGAAGGCACATAGATGTTTAGCTACCATAAAGATATAAATTGGCTACTAATGCCCATTTTTCCAAGGGCACACATTGGAGTGGCTCCATTTTTGAGCTCTAAATGGAGAGAACTGGGGCCTGACTTCCAGGACTCCCCTGGAAGTCAATGGCACCTGCAGGTGCTCATCCCTTCTGAAAATCAGGCTTGAGTGTTTCAAATTGGGCACTGACTCACTCAGGCACCCAAAAGGATGTTTTGGGAATTTTTGGCCATATATTTTTCTGTTTGCTATCATTGTGGTTTGAAGGGAAATTACTGGAGACTGGGAGAATTCCCATCCTAATTTGCTTCTTAGATACAACAATGATGAATCCTATAGAAAACAGAGATTTTATTGGAGACAATTAGATTAGACAGATGACATAAGTGTAAGAATGTCATTGCAAGCTGGACCCCGAACTTCAGAATAGGGCTACCTACACATCTGGAAATGCCCTGAGCACTTAAGTCCTCTCTCTACAGAGTTGCTAGGGTTTAATTCAGACTGGTTTTATAAGGCAGTTGCAAACCAATTTCAGGGTTTCCATCCAGAGGTTTGTACTGGTTTAACTAAACTGATTTTTTAAATGACTTCAGCTAAACTGGTGCAACGAGGTGTTTAGAGCAGCCCCCTCAAGTCAGCTCCAGCCCTAAGGAATGATGTGTAATAAATATGGCAATGTAGGTCTCACAGGGGCCTCGCTGACAGTCACTTCCACGCTGGAGGAGTAATGAGAAATCACAACGCTAGAGGAGAGATGGGGACGCTAACATTTACTTCACATTTTATATCAGTTTTTAAAATTCATGTAATGCTTGATCTATGTTTGATTTTAAAAAATGTGCATTGATTATCTTAAGCAAAAAGCAGTGCCAGCAACCAAGAATACAGACTCTGCAAATCTCCGGCAAGCCAATGTGGGCGAGTGCCACAAAAGCCACTAGTCACTACGGAAAAGAAAGTGCGGCTTCACTTTCAAAGGGTTATTATAAACACATTCAAAGTTCCTTAATTGTGGGCCAAACTCTGCCCTGATTTACAGGCAGTAAAGCCAATGCAATACTGCCTGTTATTTTTCAGTCCCTCCATTAAAAACAATGGTGATTGTGTAGTAACAAACATTACTGGTACAGCATTATCCTCCGCTAACGGTGTTAAAAATGTGCAACACCTCCCTGGATTGTGGGCTTTAATAAAAGGCCCAACTCAGGCAAAACTTTAATGAGAGGGTTGTGTAAATAAGGACTTAGTACCCAAGGGGCTGAGTTTTCTCTGGGAAGCGCTGAGCCCCCTAGCTCCAAGTCCAGTCCTACTGCTACCAAAGTGATGGTTAATTAGAGCTGTGGGAAACTTTCTGAGTGAAAGTGAAACTACTGGAAGTGAGAAAGCTTTTGGAGTCCTCTGAGAAAATATTAACTGGCCTATCATCATATGAAAAGCTAATTTTCACTAGAAAATAGGAAAATGTCAGTGAAAAAGGCTTCATTTTTATGCATCTAAAGGTGAAATGTTGCTCAAAACTGAGCAGAATATAAGAAAAATAAAGCGAAAGTTCCAGCAAAGATGGGGCTGCAGCAAAAACATGCCAACGTGTGATGTTTTACATCACAAGTGGTATTTTAACTGTGGGTAAGCATCCCAAACCAACTAGTGAAAAGCGTTCCCATTCCTCACAGCACGAAGGGATCGATCCGGCAAGGTGCTCAGTTCTCCGAGACAAACCCAGCACAGCACTTCAGCATGTGTTGAATATCCACGTGTTAAGGTTCTTTCTTGGATCAGGACTAGAGCGCCCAGCACCTTATCTTGCAGACTCAAGCCCCAAATGTGGGGAGGAGCACGTTCCAAACTGAGTGCTGCCTGCCTGCTAAGAATGTTCAGTGGTTTCCGAGAATGCAAGACAGCATGTAAGTGGATTGTAAAATTCACTTCTATTCCCAGCAGTTTGACTGGAGGAAGAATTTTTCATACTCTCCTCCCATGGATGGAGCAACTAAGCCAGGTATTCAGGAAAATTAACCAAGAGCAGTTTAGCAGAGAGCTTTCAGTCCAGCTGCTTTGGCACAATATGAATGGGATGAAACCATGCAAGTGAGAAGGCGAGAAAACCTGAGTGCACTAACAGGCAGCGGCTGGTGCTGCAGTAAAAGGCTGAGGTTGGCAGTGGAGGCCGCAAGCGGGTCGGCTCTTACCTGACCACCTGCAAAAATGACAGGGGTGGAGGCGGGCTTTGGGCGATAGGGAATGGTGGCACCTTTCGGTGGGGACTAGGAAAAGGGACAAGGAGAGGGAGAGAGAACATTAGAACAGCTTTCCTGAAACATCAGTAAAAAGAAAGTTAGAAAGCAACCAACCCAACACAGGTCATGGACACCACAAGGCACATGAATTCTATTAGATTGTCCTTGTCCCGCAGAGATTCCTTCAATAACTTTAACAGAAACGTTGGGACTGGGCGACTATCATTTCCAAATGATAGGAGACAAGGGAAATAGTCATATGAACGGGGGAGAAAGTCCTTAAATTAAATGAGATGAGGCTTCTCAGCAATTCCCTTTCCTATGGGCTTTACTCCAATGAACCTTCTCAGCTTAATCTATTTCACTCTCCTACACTCATCACCATACACACTGTAGATACTTATTTTTCTGCTAATCTACATTCATAATTTACCAGGCTTTTGTGCATGAGAGAACATCCTAGCAGTACCACCCTCAAACTCTCATTGAAGACACATGTATCCAGAGACAAGTGGCAATAGCAGGATGTGCTGGCTATGGGATATGCAGTGGGGTTGCTAGGGAGATAACTTGTTAGGAATACATATAGAGAAGTTTTCTTCATATCGTAGCCTTTGTTACCATCATCAAGCTATGTTGTACATATCAACAGCTGATTACAGCATCGCATCGGTGATGGCAGGTGTTGGATGTGATGCTGTGGCACTATTGTAGAGCACAATACACTATAGGTGTGTTGGAGGGAAATTAGAAAGAGTGAGAAGATTGTACAACAGAGTGACCATCTTTGTCTTCTCCACTTAAAAAAATGCGGATAGGCCACCAGTGCTGCTGATCCCACTTTTAATCTTATGAACCTTGCAACCATTGCAATGTCTTTGGGGCAGTGACTGTCTGGTTACTATATATCTACACAGGGCAGTGCAGGGCTGTAGTGGAATGGGGTCTGCTATGTGGTGCAGTAGCAATAATAATAATAATAAAGAGCTGGTGAATGTAATATACAAACCCAGGGCACCTTACAAACTATTGTCACACAAAGGCTTGGGAATGACCCTGCCTCTCCACTGAGCTCTATATCTTAGAAGAAAAGCATTTTAGTATAAACCTGCAAATCAGAAATGATGTTTATTACACTCAGTGGTAAGTGATTTCCTTGTTTCCCGGTTTAGACAGGAAATGGCATACAGCTATAGTGACCCCTTTCCAGGATGTTACTGTACTTATGAAAGGGATCACGCTGGGGGCATGGGAGATTCAAGTCCTTTGCTTATCCACAGAATAGGGACAGCCCAAGCAGCAATTATGCAAGCTGCACACACAGGAACTCCAACAATGTGCTGGTGGAACAAGTGAGCAGTGACTGAAGAGCCACCATGTAGCCATATGCTGTTGGGAGGGTTCTCCCCACACACACCCTTTGCCACAAGTCAATGCCATTGGCCAATTCAGTCTCCTGCTTCAGCCTGACCTGCCTGTTGTGAAGGCCATGCAAGAGCTGTATTCTGTGACTATTGTGAGAGGTGTGTGCGGAGTTCTGTCGGAGAACCAAATCATTGTTAATGCATGAAAGAAATCTTGCGAAAGCCTCTTCCTATGAGTTTTCAGACTGAAATGTTTGGATCCGTATCCCTTATTGTTTATATTCTATACAATACGCATTGTAACTACACACACAACTACTCTCCGCAGAACGCACGGCATATACAATCAGTATGAGTATCAAGAACCTCCCAATAAATATTAACACACACAAGAACTGTGTGATCAAATCCCCCAAATGAACTACAGTATTTCAAGGCTCTGTATTCACAAGTCTGCTTTCTCTCGTACTGCATTAACAACACGGGGAAATGAGAATGTCACTGGGTAAGTAGCAGAAAGGTGACAGGATTGTAGTGAAAGCCATTGTAAAGCTTTACAATAATTATCGATACTTCGGCTCAGAGACCTATCTCCCATTTTGACCCAGGCTTCCCATTTGCCTCTACTGCCACAATGGGCACTGAATTCTGCATCTCCAAACAGGTACCTGGTGTTGCAAACCTGCCCATCACTGGTGCAGCCCTGCCTGTGGTTACTGCTGATCCAAACCCACCTCTGCCAAAATCCTTCTCCCAACCTCCTTCCTCTCCCAACTTCCCTTGCTAAGAACTCCCCAGACTCCAGTGTGCAGAAGGCTGATTCCTGCCTTCTCTCACATACTAAATACAGTGACCATATCGCTCCGGTGCTCAGACAATACCGCTGCCCCATTCATTTCAGGATCCAGTTCAAAATGATCTTCCGAGTTTTTCAAACGCTCCACGGTCTTGCTCCAGCTCATGTCACAGATCTTATTTCTCTCTATGCCCTTCCCACTCCCCTTGCTTTTCTAGCACTGAGCCATCTGTGTCCCACCGCACAAGCTCTTCAGCCTAAGGGAGAGAGCCTACGGCCTCCTCATTTCGAAAGCAACCTTCTTGTGACTCTACTGCGGACTGCCCCTCCATCTCATTTCAAATCTCAAGAGAAAATATCATATTTCACTTATCAGTTAAGTTAGAGTTCAGCCCCAGACTCCATAACTAGTAAATGAACAGAGTGCAGGGCTGGCCAAGAACACATATGAGGGTTTTAAAATAAAGGTACCAGGAAACATCTATGATCCAGTAACTGAGGGTGAACAATAACATCAATAGCTATTCCAGGGTTTTGACTGTAGTTTGGTTGTTGATAGCTTTTCCTATATACTTTACCCCCATTGTTACAGACTGTACCTCCAGCATCACCACACAGATCTGTTTGACACACTGGATAATTGCATCGGGGGTCCCCGAAATTGTCACTGCCCGCTCTGTGGAGTTGGGCAGCATGTCCCCCGCCACTTGAACCTGAGCACCTGTTGACTGGAGAAAGCAGGAAGAGAGAGAGAGAGAGAGAGAGAGAGAGAGAGAGAGAATAGCAAAGTTGAATGCACAGCAGCTGTAACAATGAAAACACCTAATCGTCCCTTCCTTTGTAGTCAGCTGCAACTTCAATGTGCTCGTTTTTTGGTGCGTTAGACCCTGGTTAAGAATTGCTTGCTTTGCAAACATTACATGACAATCACCCTCCCTCCTCTTGCCACGCCATGTACACAGGGAATATGTCAGTCTTCAAGGCCTGCAGAAGTCAAATGTCATGCCATCCCAGTGCTGGCAGGAGCCCGTGTCAGTTACATGCTGGGATCCTTAGGAAATCAAAAGTCCCAGTTTAACATTTCTGAGTCAGCTGCCGGTGGCAGGCATTTTGCTGGAGGTGACACCATTTGTGAAGCTGGCTGCATGTGGATACCCACTGCAGAGGCTGCAAAGTCAGTTTCCATTCTCACTTGAGTTAAATGTAGCTTTTAAACGGTGCACTTACAACGGAGGTTTAGGAAAAGGGTCTGCCTTACCTCCCTGATTTCCTTAATCTTGGAGCCTCCTTTGCCAATCAGTGACCCACACTGGCTAGCAGGCACGACCAACCTCAATGTTACTGGCGGTTTACTGGTAGCAGTGCTGTTACTCATTGAGTTGATTATGTCCTTGGGAAGGGGAAAAATAAAACTGGCTTTATTATTCTGCCATACACACCCTGTCCCAACTGGTGAAAATATACAAGGAAGGGGACAGCTTAATCTTCCCTTAAATTGCACACAGGACCATATCGTGCTGTCAGAAACCAAAAGCACTGTCAGACAACTATTTCCATAGCTCATAATTATCTATCATAGGTGTCTGTCTGGTTCCAGTCACTGCTCTACACCCGTAGCTGTCCACAGACCGTACCTCCCAGTTTGGTGGAGCCATTTGTGATGCCTTCTTGACTAATATCTAAGGCATCTCTATTTCTGATGGATTAATCTGGTGCTCGTGAAAATGAGGAAAACATAGCATTGATATTATTCTTGTAAATCATAGAATCATAGGACTGGAAGGGACCTTGAGAGTTCACCCAGTCCAGTCCCCTGCACTCATGGCAGGACTAAGTATTATCCAGGGGTGGGCAAACTTTTTGGCCCGAGGTCCACATCTGGGTATGGAAATTGTATGGTGGGCCATGAATGCTCACAAAATTGGGGGTTGGGCTCTGGGATGGGGCCAGAAATGAGAAGTTCAGGGTGTGGGAGGGGGCTCTGGGCTGGGGCGGGGGGGTTGGGGTGCAGGTGGGGGGGGTGAGGCTCCAGCGGGGGGTGCAGGTTCGGGGGTGCAGGAGGAGGCTGGGACCAAGGGGTTTGGAGGGCAGGACGGGGGATCAGGGCTGGGGCAGGGGTTCGGGGCACAGGAAGGGGTTGGGGTGCAGGCTCCAGGCAGTGCTTACCTCAAGCAGCTCCTAGAAGCAGCAGCATGTCCCCCCTCCAGCTCCTACACAGAGGTGCGGCCAGGTGGCTCTCTGCGCTGCCCCATCTGCAGGCACCGCCCCTGCAGCTCCCATTGGCCGTGGTTGCTGGCCAATTTGAGCTGTGGGAGCCACACGGAGCCATGGCATGCATGGAACAGGGCAAGCCCCTGACCCCGCTCCTCGGCTGGACCACCAAAGTGGGGCAAGCCCCGGACGCCGCTCCCCGGCAGGAGCTCGAGGGCCTGATTAAAATATCTGAAGGGCCAGATGCGGTCCCCGGGCCGTAGTTTGTCCACCCCTGATCTACAAAAACAACAAGGAGTCTGGTGGCACCTCAAAGACTAACAGATTTATTTGGGCATAAGCTTTCATAGGTAAAAATGCATAGCATCTGAAGAAGTGAGGTTTTTACCCACGAAAGCTTATGCCCAAATAAATCTGTTAGTCTTTAAGGTGCCACCAGACTCCTTGTTGTTTTTGTAGATACAGACTAACACGGCTACCCCTTGATACTTGCCACCCCTGATCTAGACCATCCCTGACAGGTGTTTGTCCAACCTGCTCTTAAAAACCTCCACTGATGGAGATTCCACAACCTCCCCAGGCAATTTATTCCAGTGCTTAACCACCCTGACAGTTAGGAAGTTTTTTCCTAATGTCCAACCTAAACCGCCCTTGCAGCAGTTTAAGTCCATTGCTTCTTGTCCTATCCTCAGAGGTTAAGAAGAACAATTTTTCTCCCTCCTCATTGTAACAACTTTTATGTACTTGAAAACTGTTATCATGTCCCTCCTCAGTCTTCTCTTTTCCAGACTAAACAAACCCAATTTTTTCAATCTTCCCTCATAAGTCATGTTTTCTAGACCTTTTATCATTTTTGTTCCTCTTCTCTGGACTTTCTCCAATTTGTCCACATCTTTCCTGAAATGTGACGCCCAGAACTGGACACAATACTCCACTTGAGGCCTAATCAGTGCAGAGTAGTGCAGAAGAATTACTTCTCGTGTCTTGCTTATAACACTCCTGCTAATACATCCCAGAACGATGTTCACTTTTTTTGCAACAATGTTCCACTGTCGATTCATATTTAGCTAGTGATCCAGTAAGACCCCCCCAGATCCCTTTCCACAGTACTCCTTTGTAGGCAGTCATTTCCCATTTTGTATGTGTGCAACTGATCATTCCTTCGTAAGTGGAGTACTTTGCATTTGTCCTCATTGGATTGCAACCTATTTACTTCAGATCATTTCTCCAGTTTGTCCAGATCATTTTGAATTTTAATTCTGTCCTCCAAAGCATTTGCAACCCCTCCCCGCTTGGTATCATCCACAAACTTTATAAGTGTACTCTCTATGCCATTATCTAAATCACGGGTGGGCAAACGTTTTGGCCCGAGGGCCACATCGGGGTTGTGAAATGGTATGGAGGGCCGGGTAGGGAAGGCTGTGCCTCCCCAAACAGCCTGGCCCCCGCCCCCTATACACTCCCTCCCACTTCCCACCCTGACTGCCTCCCTCAGAGCCCACAACCCATCCAACTCCCTGCTCCTTGTCCCCTGACCGTCCCCTCCTGAGACCGCCCCCCCAGAACCTCACCCCCTATCCAACCCACCCTGCTCCCTGTCCCCTGACTGCCCCAACCTCTATCCACACCCCCACCCCCGGCAGGCACCCCGGGACTGCCACGCCTATCCAACCCCCCCATTCCCTGTCTCTGACCGCCCCACCCAGAACCTCCACCTCATCCAACCACCCCCTGTCCCCTGACCGCCCCCCGGGTCTCCCCATCCCTAACTGCCCCCTGGGACTCCACCCCCTATCCAACTGCCCCCTGCTCTCTGTCCCCTGACTGCCCCCCACGACCCCCTGCCTCTTATCCAACCCCTCCGCTCCCCGCCCCCTTACCATGCCATGCCGCTCAGAGCAGCAGGATTGGCTTATTGGAAAGCCTGGGAGGTGGGCGGGCACAAGCCGTGCAGCCTGGCAGGAGCGGCGGGCCAGAGTGCTCCCCACGCGGCAGCGTGGCTGCGGGGGAGGGGCCGGGGGTTAGCCTCCCCGGCCGGGAGCTCAGGATGTGGTCCGCGGGCCATAGTTTGCCCACCTCTGATCTAAATCATTGATGAAGATATTGAACAGAACTGGACCCAGAACTGATCCCTGCGGACCCCACTTATTATGCCCTTCCGGCATGACTGTGAAGCACTGATAACTACTCTCCGGGAACGGTTTTCCTAGAGTTTTGCACCCACCTTATGATAGCTTCATCCAGGTTGCATTTCCCTAGTTTGTTTATGAGCAGGTCATGTGAGACAGTATCAAAAGCTTTACTAAAGTCAAGATACGCCACATCTACCGCTTTCCCCCTACCCACAAGGCTTGTTATCCTGTCAAAGAAAGCTATCAGGTTAGTTTGACATGATTTGGTTTTTACAAATCCATGCTGGGATTGTTATTTATCACCTTATTATCTTCTAGATGTTTGCAAATTGATTGCTTAATTATTTGCTCCATTATCTTTCCGGGTACAGAAGTTAAGCTGACTGGTCTGTAATTCCCCAGGTTGTTCTTATTTCCCTTTTTATAGATTGGCACTAGATTTGCCCTTTTCCAGTCTTCTGGAGTCTCTCCCGTCTTCCATGACTTTTCAAAGATAATCACTAGTGGCTCTGATATCTCCTCAGTCAGCTCCTTGAGTATTCTAGGATGCATTTCCTCAGGCCCTGGTGACTTGAAGACATCTAATTTGTCTAAGTAATTTTTAACTTGTTCTTTCCCTATTTTAGCTTCTGACCCGACCTGATTTTCACTGGCATTCACTATGTTAGATGTCCAATCACCACCAACCTTCTTCATGAAAACCGAAAATGCTCTATAAGTTCCCTCCACACAGCTCTGACCCAGCACCTCAATCCCTATCCAGAGCACTCGCAGAGCTGCTTTGGGAAATCGTGGGGCCATTTCGCTCACTCCCCGCGAATTGTAGTGCTCAAATATCATGTGAGCTGACTCCTTTTTCAAGTGTGTGAAAAGTCCATACAAGTTTGAAAATATTCCAATGAATGGAAGTGCGGTGTTCACACAGACTGAAAAGCCACCTGCATGACGATGAACTACGTGACTTTGGAACAAATTCACAAATTCCAAACCCAGAAGAGACCATTGTCATCATCGGGTCTGATCTCCTGTATAACACAGGCCACAGACATGCCCCAAAATAATTCCTTTTGTACTAGAGTAGATCTTTTAAATATTTAAAATTGCCAGTGATGAAGCATTCAGCACAGACCTTGGTAAATTGTTCCAATGGTTAATTACTATTACTGTTACAAATATACAACTTATTTCCAGTCTGAATTTGTCTAGCTTCAACTTCCAGCCATTGGGTTATTTTATAACTTTGTCTACTAGATTGAAGAGCCCATTTTCAAATATTTCTTCCCCATGTAGATACCTACAGACCATGATAAAGTCAACCCTTACCCTCCTCTTTGTTAAAGTAAATAGACAGAGCTCCTTGAGTCTATCACTATAAGACACATTCTACAATCCTTTAATCATTCTTATGGCTCTTCTCGGACCTCTCTCCAATTTACCAACATCCTTCCTAAATTGTGGGCACTAGAACTGGGCACAGGATTCCAGCAGAGGTTGCACTAGTGCCAAATGCAGAGGTAAAATAACCTCTCTCCCCCTACTCGAGATTCCCCTGTTTATGCATCCAAGGATTGCTTTAGTCCTTTTGGCCACAGCATCACACTGAGAGCTCCTGTTCAGCTGATTATCTACCAATCTTTTTCAGAGTCTCTGCTTCCCAGGATAGAGTCTTTCCTCGTGTAAGACTCGTGTGACTCTATGATTTTTGTTGTTAGATGTATATGCACTTATTCCTGTGTATTTAGGCCACATTTTCTTAAACTCACCCTGTGTCTCATAAAAATAAAGTGCAGGATCTTCCAGGGCCATGAGATGAAACTCAACTCTTTCCTAGCTAGAGATGTAAATATTGAGTGGAAGGTTTTCTGTTGAACACTAGAAGAGATTTTGAATGCCGTACAGTGTTGGGAGTGAAGGCATATGTAGGCCTGATAGAAGCCTGAGGTAGATTTTAAGAGTCTGCTCTGATAACATTTAAGTATAAGCGTAAGTAGAGTAATCATCTTTGTGAGAACAAGAAAAGATAAAGTAACGAAAAATCTAGAAAAGA